AGATAACCACCTGTCAGGGACCATGCAGGGAGGTCTAATCCCTCCTGGCCAAACTAGTGCAGATGGACTTTAATCATCACAAGTCATGTTGTACGTAAACGCATCTTAAAGTCCTTTAATGACATTCTATTTCGAGAGAAAATGTCTACACTAAAGGCCATTAATACCTCAGTCACACCAACGAAACTGACATCTTGGGGCGTTTCACAAAGCCTTTATTCAATGACAAACGACAAAAATCAGTGACAAATCTGCTGATAACCAATCAGAAGCAAGGATTTCAGTAGCTTATAACGAAAACTGTCATTTATCACTGATGACAAGTTTTGTGAAACGCCCCCAGACCGACAGCAGACCAAACAAAGAATTTTACTACCCCAAATGGCGAAGTAACTATGGTTATTTTGTTCGAATGTATTCCATCATTACCCCAATGTTGGCCTCCACGGCGCTCTCAAGGATGGGTATCATTGACCGAGGTCCTCGGGTACAGTTGAAGCCGACGACATCGGCACCTTCGGCCACAAGACGTCGAAGGGCTTCGTTGAACTCGATGCCGTCCGCCGTGGTAGGCTTCCCCTCCGTCGTCGTCTTAGTAAAGTGCGTTGCTATGGTGATGACGGCAGGTACACCTAGATACAAAAATGGAATGGGTTTGGTATCTAATTTTATTGAACAATGTATGTAAGATGATGTCAACATTGTCGGTATTGTCATCATTTCAGGTAAGAGTTGTAACCATTTGCTCATCATAAGTCCTTTAAAACGGGGGTTTCCTAAGTATGAAATTTATTGTGTCATGAATGTACCTTTTCCGTATTCTTTGATTGCCTTGGTTGCAAGCACAGCCTCTTCAAGGTGACCAAACGTCTCGCCCACGATGAAATCGGCTCCCTCGTCCACGGCCCACTCGACCTGCTCCTAAAATAGTCGGTAAGAAACAAAATAAGCTCCTACACATTATAAATGTTCTTATGAATTAATAGAATGTCAAAAGTTATGAAGCTTAATGTGCAGCGAGAGGGCGACATGTTTTTACTCGCCGATGCACCTTGTTAAGGCCAAGAAAGCGTGAAGGAGAGTTATTGAAACTCGCCAAGGCATCTTTTTAAGACGAGAAGGCGAAAAGGCGAGTAGTATAGTCATTGGTCTTCCCGCCTTCTCGTCATAAATAAGGCGCCTTAATTGGCGAGGTTTCATCATTCACCTTTGCGCTGCCCGTTCAAGCGTCCTTACAAAAACTTATTAAAGAATTTCTGGCACATTATAGAAAAGTTTACGTAATAGACCAAATATGTTGTTCTTTATTATCTAAGTCATGTTGTACAATTATTTATTGTTTGTTTAAATCGATTATCAACGATACCTTGCACATGCCAACATGTCATATTGTTTTATTTTATGTTTGTAAATGAAAATAAATGAAATGAAATGAATTGTGACTTGTATCGGGGCCCAGACTCACCTTGAACATCGATTTTGTCTTAGTGATTGCCTCGTCATTCCCCGGTTCGTACACCCAGGTGTTGCTGAGGTCACCGCACATCAGGGTGCCCGTTTCATCGGCCACTTCTCTCGCCATCTTGAGTGCGAGACGATTCTGCTTCTCGAGCTCATCCTCCCGCCCGACGAGCTTGAACTTGCTACGGTTACCATAATACTATCGGCAAATTGAGAAGGGAGGGAATGGAGGAGATTTTGAATGGAAGACTAAAACACGTGATCAATTTTTTTTTCGAACGGAGCAGAAGGTGAAACATTTGCTTTGCGGTTTCAACCACTCAAAAGGATTTTATGCACAGCTCAAATTATTCGGGGTGGGCAACCTAGAGCTAGTAGATCAACAGATTCCGACACCAATTACCCACGAGACCGACATCCCGCGGACCGTCATCTCAAAGGACCGATAAAACAAAGAAAAGTATCAGGGAAGATAGGGGGAAATGTAGGCCTCCTGGGCTGTGGGTCTGTGAAACCTCTGAATAGTTGCCACAATGCCCGTAATAGGGAGACTGTTGGTCTCGTGGACTATCGACCCTAATGGGCGTTATCGAAAAATGTATTATTCCTCAAACACCACTCACCGTAAAAGCTTGGACTACGTCGCTTCCAGCACGCACGAAATCTTTGTACATCTGACGTACAAGCTCGGGATGATCCATTACAACTTCAGGGGTGAACGGCCCTGCTTTCAGGTAACCCAGACGCTCAAAAGCAAAGATATACCCCTCCGCAACAATGACGGTCTCCCCATCCTGAATGCGCTGTAACAGTCCTGTTGGCTCAGAATGTGAGAAAAATAAAATTCATATTAAGTGAATGTTTTATTTCTAAATCACTTCATAGACGGGAACAGGTTGGGGGGGTATGGGCAGACTGGGGCAAAATGTCTATAAATTGCCCGGCGTTAATGGGGGGAGGGGCACAAGGGGAGCAGTATTCTGACAAGCAAATCAATGAAGTAGAAAAGGTTATCAAATTTTTCAGTTGCATGATCTAAAAAACAGGTACAACAACAATGAGTACCGGAAGATATGAAGGAGAAGAAGAAGAAAAAGAAGAATATGAAAAATATAAATAAGGGGCGATTATGTAGAAATGAATAAAAGAAGAAAGATTAAAAAAATAATGTTTAAGAAAAAGGGATGACGTGTCAGTTTGTTTTACTCGCACCATACTCACTTTCACAGACTATCAAATTCTTTCCACCCTGCACAGCCATCAACGGAGATTTTTTCTCAATGCAACAAATTCAAGATCCTAATGAAAAAATAAAATTCATCTTAATTGAATGTAAAATTTACATACCTGTAGTCTTAGACATCGTTCGGGGTCCAGATACAAATGTTTTCCAATCGAAAAAGGGAAAAGAAATGTGGAATAAAACCGGTGTTTTCGCAGCTATGGCACACAACGTCGTCTAGTCCCAATATCAAGTGATGTCCGATTAACAACTAACTGGGTCATAGTCAGAAGTGGAGTCACAAGACCCAACTTTATATGTGGCTAAACAAACAACATTTATGTGAACTTTCCACCCGAAATCTGTATACATAACAGACAAATAAATACTTTACAACTTTGAAGGACCAGTACACTTTTCCATGATCCACATATGCCATTTTTATATAATGTAAGCAATGTTCAATGTTCAATGTTCAATTTATTTCTCCACAAATGCAAAACATAGGGAGCTACATAGAATAAAATACATACATACAATACAATAATAGAACATGTACAATATATATAGAACGACTCCAGTTGGAGCAATGTATGTTTTAAAAAGAAACAAATCAGCAAATGTGGAAGGGGTAGTCAAAAATCAAAAATGATTTGTCGAGGACTACCCCAAAAAAGCAAATTTAAAGGGACTTGGTAACATTGTTCAGATGAGAGAAAGTGGTACTAAAGCTGTGACTTCAATGCTAGATGTACAATTAAAGATAATCTGAAAGTTTGAGTGAAAACGGACCATTATTAATGATGTAAATTGGGGAAACTGATCTGATCGATTCCTTTATTCTCCCAACTATATTATTTCAATTCAATTACATTTTAGGTGAATATAAATCGTCACAAAGCAATGAGTCTGCTCTATATATCATTCCAGACATTAAGCGATGAAAGATTTTTAAAAGCCTGTCTTATATCTTTTTTTCCTGGAAAAATGGTTGGGAAAATCCAAAGTTGGTTGGGAGAATTCACGGTTAATCCCTGTAAAAGGGTGTTGCACAGTGACACCTTCAAGAAAACCAAAGATATATTTGTGGTTTGAGAAATTTTTCGGGATTGTTTGCATGTTAGAGGGTTAGTACAGTAAAAGGAATATAATACGTAACATTTCAGTAAAAAATTGGACTAGTTATTCGAAAGAATGGTTTGGAAAATCTTGCACTGATGACTGGAAGAATAGAGGGGAGGAGAAGTAGGGGTAGAAGCGGGATTCTATTTTTGGACCAGACCCACACTACGCCACAGCCCTCCCCTTTTCGCGTGACTATTCTCTATGTATATATACGTACTACTTTTTTGCTGCTATTTCGTTTTCTGCTTAATAAGGATACTACTAATAATAATAATGGTGATAATAATAATGATAATGCTTTGTTTTCCAGGGTAGCCTTATTAGTTATACTATACTCCCCGAGGACCCTGCAATCATATCATTAACCAGGCTTTATTGAAACTAGCAATCATATCGCCTAGAAAATTAAGGAATTTTTTCGAAACCCAATACCAATCTTTATAGACCGGTTTGATCCATTGCACACGAGGCGTAATTTCGATTTCGTTATTTCCTGCGCTAACCGTGCCCCTTAAAGACGCATAGTAGTGGGCTCACATGGGGAATTCGACACCATTCGGGTGTTTATCCATTAACAGGTGTTTTTAATCACCAGTATTATTAGCCTTCATTTTATGAACAATAGGCTTTATGTAGTGCTCTGCATTTTTCACCAACCATATGGAAAAGTCATTATCTTACATTTCCCTCACCAGAAGACTCTCCGAGAGAGTTGATGGGACCACTCGTGTCCTATGTGCGAGACTTGTACACCCATTCATGGTTTTTCTACCAAGTCTGGTGTCAGAAAATGGTGTCCTACTGCACATGGAAACGGACTACCATCTCCCTAAGCCAGTTAGCCTCCTTTATAGAGTCATTCAATGCAGTGTCTGTAGCCTTTTCCCCCACTTTTTTGAACGATGTTACTCTTATCGTGTCATGTCGCGTCAAAGACCACGCCATTTGCTGACGGAGCGATACGTCATCAAAATGACGTCACGTGTGCAACGGGCATCGGGTTTAAAAATGTTCACTGCCTCCAAGGATGGTGTATCACAACCATAGATCACAACACACCGTCATACAGAACGCCACATATAAATGATAAAGTTTTAACAAAAATCAACAACAACAAAAAGGCAATGAAAAGTCCACGGTGGTTGAGACTCTCACACAAAAATCACAAATCAGAACTGTAAAATCAAAACTGTAAAATTTCAGTGTCGTTTATTTCAATCAGACTACAGGGAAAAAGTATTGCATACCACATTACATAACACAAACGTTTTAATCTTTTTTTTCCCCATGCATATTCGCACTGATATCAATGAATACTAGGAAAAAAAACTTCATAAAGTTCACTAGTTACACTTCCACAGATTATACATCAAGACTGCAGCTATTACAAATTGCAGCAAAACAGATTTGCTTTGTCAGTTTTGTCAGTGTGTTCCTATAATTGCTTAGATTCAATTCAATAAAGATGATTTCATTGAAGGAAAATAGTTATTCTACTTGCATATAGTGAAAGCACCAATACAAAAATTACCTTTTCAGTGTTCACAATACAAAAAACGTAAAAATGCCATTGTCACTGTGCATTCACAGATCAATACTAAGACATCCTATACTTCACCATATTAATGGCAGACCCATCAAAAGCATTTAAAAGTTGAGTAAATAAAATTTAGGGAACTGTCTTGTTCATGATCAAATAAGTAATATTTGAAGTAGGATTTGTGTAATTTAAATGGGTTTCTTCTCAAATTATATTAACTTTTAAAGTCTTTTAAGTCTATCACTTGTAGAAGTAAATAATATCGTTAGCCTAAAACGTGAGATATGTATTTTGCTGTACATATGATCGAATTGTTTTTACACGTTTTTCAAAAAGACCCTTTTTTGATTATGATAATCTTTGAAGCTAGACTTAGTCTACAGGACTATGCTTTACATTTTGAAGATTTCCTTTCTCTTTTATCTCATTTCTGTTCTATTTCTTCTTCTCCTTCTTCTTTTTATTCTTCTTCTTCTACTCCTTCTGCTCTTCCTCTTTCCCTCCTTTTTTTTTCTTCGTCTTTCTCTTCCTCCTCGAGACGTTCGTCTTGTTTTCTATTCTTTTGCGGTCATAGCCTTAGTTGCTGGCAGGTCTTGGGTCATCTTGGTGTAGTAAGTGTTGACCTTGCCAGCATTCGTGCCGTAGAATCCGTGTAGAGACATGTCTGGTGAATACTTGGACGCCTCGGTGACCCTCCCCAGAGTTTCGGCCAGGGTCCTGGTGTAGTGAGGCGAATTTCCGCAGCAGAGTCCCACGTACGGTATTTTGAGTTGGGCACAACGCTCAGCGAACTTGACGATGTCAGTGCGAGAACAGAGAAGGCAGTCGAGATCGGTATAAAATGCTCGTTGTCCTGTAAAGAAAAGGCATAATAAAATGAAGAAAGAAAGGATTAAGAAAGAAAAGGAAAACAAATATGATATCGGGTGGTGATTTCAGTTCTTGTCAGCTAGTAAGAAAGTCACAAGGACGTTCCCTGACATCATTCCCGTTCAATGCCCGTTCCCTCAAATTAAATGCTCACGGTTGACCACGAGGCGTCATTTCCTGACGAATGAACTTGCCAGCTAGCAACCGACGCGGACGGGTATTCAATGACGCTGTCACATGGAGGATATGACGCACTGTTACGTCAGCAAATGCATCTTGTACATTGGGTATAGAGTACCGAAGGGTGACACCATAGGCCTATACTGGCCAAGTTGTCAAGATTGCCGGTTCCTAACAACTTCGGGCTTAACAATGATATGTTGTGCATGGTGATATGCACACCAGCCCCATAATAAACACAATAAATTTGCCCTGCTCCATCTCTAATTTGCTTATGCGCAGGCTCTGTGTTTAGAACCAGTAACCTGGATAACGAGTGCATAAGACGTTAGCACTTCAGTAATCTATTAGCCAAGTTTAATAATGACATTCGCCCTTTACCTGGTTTGAAAACAACCGTCAAAGCGGTATAAATTAGGATCGCGTTTTTGCGCGCCTGTAAAACAGTGTCTAGTTTGAATGCTACAAAGAAGAGGGGAAATTGACCAAATAATTCATTTAATATCCCCCTTTGAGAATCAGTGAATCAGAATCGTAAATGACCGCATCGTAAAAATATATATGATATTTAAATTTCTATTAAGTATTGAAGATTCATACCTGATACGGGATCTTTGATGGTCGTGAAGTTTGGTTCCTCCATAGTAGTTCTGTATGGCACTGGCAGGGCAGCTATAGGAACCTACGCACGAAAAAAATAAAAAATAAAAAAAAGTGTATATATTGGCGTCAGATCATTTTCCCCGCGTGTTATAAAACTTCAGACTGTACTTCGGCCTAAAAACAAATATATTTACGGGGGTGTAGCATGGGAAATACTGGTTAACGCCATCTACGACTTATTTTGGACAACTGCGTTCGCGAAACAGACTGAAGTTCTCCTCACGCTTCGGTTTCACGTATGTACGTTTGCACGCAAGTGAATACTGCGGTCGCGTCGTCCGTAGTCATACCCAATTGGCCCCGAGTCAGGCTACGGAAAAAGACACTTAGTCTCGTCATGCTACAACCCCTTTAAGGAATACCGCAGCAAATACCGAGGCCAGGCTTCAATATAATCGTAACCAGAACATTTAGCAGTACACTGCACATAGTTGTATTAGATACCGCATTCTGCATGCGACTCCTTATTAGAGAAATTTTGTTCAAAAAAATATCCATCAAATGTATTTATTTGTAGGTATACGAAATGCAACTCGTAGGCCCGAATTCACAAAGGAGGTTTGTCGACAAACCTAGGTTTATGTGCGTCATATGACGCGTTTCGACGCGTTTTTACAAACCTTGGTTTGTAAAAACGCGTCGAAACAAAAAGGGGTTTGTCGACAAACCTCCTTTTTGAATTCAGGCCAAAGTGTTTGCGTAGTGCACATGTCTTTTTGTGTTCAAATGTTCAATGCGTGTGAATTTGATTTGCTAATGTGTTGTATACAGAAAACGCCATTTCCAAGACAAAACTTAACTGTTATGACCCAGTTAGCAGTGTAGCGGTCAAAAGCAAAAGCTATGCTCACTTTTGACCAATCAGGGGCCTAGATTCCCGAGGTTCATTACAATATCACTTTTTCAACTTCAAAAATCTTTTTTTTTTTGTTAAAGACAAGGATTCCTTAATTACCCCGATATCTGCCTTTGCTGCGCTCTCAAGTAGAGGCAGCATGGACGTAGGTCCAGACATGCAGTTGAAGCCGACGACGTCGGCGCCTGCAGCTACGAGACGTCGAAGAGCGTCGTTGAACTCGACGTCGTCGGCAGTCAAGACCTTGCCATCTTTGGAGTACTTGCTGAAGTGCGTTCCGAAGGTGATGACTGCCGGTACACCTGGGGGATGAGCAATTAATGAGATGGTTGGGTTCTGAAGTGATTTGTTAAAATGATTTGTGAGTTCCCCCCCCCCCAAGGGGTAGCATATCATAGTAGCTATATAATTGCTTTTCATATGAAAAAGATTGTGCTTGAAGTGCTCTCTTAAAATCAAGTGAAATAGGTTTAAAATAAAACTGGATCGAATGCCTCTAACCCTCCATTTAAAAATTGATAAACATAATCTCTTTGTATAAGCGATGGGATACATTTAAGTTATAAGATACATTAAAAAGGTTTTGTTTCATAGTACGTTACACCCAACTTCAATGTATGTTCTTTAACAAAAAGCAGAATACAGCAACATTTTCATAGAGCAACGAAAAGAGAACCTGTCCGATACAAAGTAACGTCATCAGATGTTGAGAGCCAGGAGGAATTTAACTGAAAGTAAAAGTATCAGATAATGTCCTTATGACACTGATCAGCAGGCACGTAGCCACGGAGGGGGGGGGGGGGGCACGTGCCCCCAACAATTTCCAGGATCGGTTGAACTTTTTTAGACCCCCTTTTTGTTTTACCTCGATCGATTACATGTTTGTGCCCCCCCCCCTCCCCCCCCCCCCCCCCCCCAACATCAAACTCTGGCTACGTGCCTGCTGATCAGAGGATCAGAGAATATACTGAATATTCAATGCTTACCTTTTCCGTATTCTTTGATGGCCTGGGTTGCAAGCATAGCCTCTCCCAAGTGACCAAACGTCTCGCCCACGATGAAATCAGCCCCCTCGTCCACGGCCCACTCGACTTGTTCCTATTTTATCAAGATAAATAAAGAACCATAAAAGACACGAGATACCTTCTGACTGCCAACTGAAATCATCTTCTGATCTTATAATACTTCCGAAGCCTACAGGGTAGAAGTGATGCTGAATTTTTTCCAAAGTCCAAATTTAATAATAAACAAATTCAAGCGGGACCCATGTAGAAAATGAATGCCAGAATTTCAACCTCCCCCCCCCCCCCCGCCCCCATTGAAAATTATTATTTTCGAATCGCACCTGAATAGTTAAATGAACGACGATTTGCTGATAGTGGGATTATCGTTTTGTATTTGAGCTGATGCTACGAATAACTTCTACCAACAGTCCTACTGCAGCCAAATATGCAGCCTTTATGCAGTGCAGTCAGTGACGGTTCTAGAATGGGCTTGAGGCTCAAGGCCCCAACCCCCCCCCCCCCACAAAAAAAACCCTCTTGATTTTGAATTAATTTAAGAGAGGCCCATGTATGAATGCAAGAATCCCCTAGCCCACCAAAGGCCCCCACGGTGATTCTTCTAGAGAACCGTACCTATACATTGTACTAGGTAAACATTTGATATTTTTAACGACGTATCTATTTACCTTGAACATCGCTTTTGTCGTAGCAATCGCCTCCTCGTTACCAGGTTGGTACACAAACGTGTTGCTGAGGTCACCGCACATCAGGGTTCCCGTCTCATCGGCCACTTCTCTCGCCAGCTTGAGTGCTAGACGATTCTGCTTCTCGAGCTCATCCTCCCGTCCGACCAGCTTGAACTTGTTACGATGACCATAATACTGTTTTGAACGAGAAGGGGAAGTTCCTATGGTCAAATATAATAGAGATAAGAACTTTATTTGATTAAATAAGTGAGGAGAGTGGATCAATTTTCATGATTAAAAGAAAGAAGTGTATAAACGATACAAACGAGCTTTTCATTGAGTCAATCAAAGATTACTATTTTCATCAATTTGTTATAAGGTTTACATATTGGATATCATATGGTAATATTTTATGGATCTTTTCCAGAAGCGGATCCGGGAATATTGGGCAGCAGGGGGGTGAGGGGGGGGGGGGGGCGCAAATAAAAAAAAAATCTCTGACATGAAAAAAAGAAAAAAGAAAAGAAGAATCAACAAGAAACAAAATAGAGCAAAAGGCTTTAGGGTATAAATTTGTCGCCGAGGGCCCAAATGGAGAGACAATTCCATGTTATGCTTGATGTGATCAAACAACATAATCGGAGGGCCAAAGTCAGACAAGAGGGGTTTGCCTGCCACTTCCACGGAATACTATTTTTCGTCAAAAGGGCCTCTTTTTGGACGCCCCCTCCAAATAAGGGGTGTTCGCTACAATTTTTTTTTTTTAATCTGACATACTGTGTATCATGATAAAATGTTTAGAATGAACAAGGTGTGCTTAGTTTGTGTGGTAGTGGCAGGCAAACCCCTCTTTTCTGACTTTGGCCCTCCGCTTAACATGCCAATTATAAAAATTTAAAGGGGCCCGTGCCCCATGCACCCTCCCCCCCCCCCCCCCCCCCCAGATCCGCCGTCGCATAAAGCTTACCGTAAACGCCTGTACTACGTCACTTCCAGCGCGTACAAAGTCCTTGTACATCTGACGTACCAGCTCGGGATGATCCACTACAACTTCAGGGGTGAACGGCCCTGCTTTCAGGTATCCCAGATGCTCAAAAGCAAAAATATACCCCTCTGCAACAATGACGGTTTCCCCATCCTTGATCCTTTCCATAAGACCTGTGGAAAGATAACGAAATGACAACACTGCATCATAAGAGATAAACTTACAATGTTTATCTATTGTAATGCGAAGTTTGAAGTTCAAGTATCAACTATCAAGTATCAAGTTTATTTGTCTTCCAGTAGTCACATGTAACAAAATATAATAGAGCATAATCATAACAGTAATACAATGTAGAAAAAAGAAAGACGAGGAGATTTTGGTTGAAGCACAACTTGTTAAGTTAAGTTAAACAACTACTCAACGATGCATCGGCCACAGCATGGACCTCCATGACCACAACAAGTATATATAATCGTATCCGGACACCTACCCCCTGGACATCCACCCCCGGATAACCACCCCCAGTCAACTACCCCCTAGGACAATTACCCCCTAGGACAACTACCCCCTAGGGCAACCACCCTCTAGGACGACTACCCCCCGGACAACTGCCCCCCAGTAAAATACCCCCTAGGATAGTTGTCCGGGGGTAGTTGTCCTAGAGGATGGTTGTCGTAGGGGGTAGTTGTCCGGCTGGTGGTTGCCCTAGGGGTAGTTGTCCTAGGGGGTATCATTGTATACGGGATAAACGGGGTTTTTCAATGATACCAACTTCAAGTATGATAATATAGTAACAAGAGAGATGCCAACGTTAAAACTTGAACTACAAAAATGTTTTTGTATAGGAGTTTAGTATACTATTATTATTTTGTTTTAAAATAAGGCTTGAGAATTTCGCAGAGACGCAAAAAAAATATTTATGAAATAGGAGGGGGTTATAATTATGTCCGGCCGGATAACACTGTTTCCCTTTCGGAACATAGATAATACAAGTATTACTTACTTATCAAGTTGAAAATAACAGCTTCCTTGAATATGGACTCAAAAAGAAGAAAAAATCATTTGTAATCACAGCCAGCTAAATCTTTTAAAATTACGGACTTTTCATCTTGCATGTGTATCCCAAATATCGTAAATGTATGACTTGTTCAATCACATTATTGTTCTACCCCCTCCGTTTTTACCAGTTTTGCACATAAAGGAAACCTTATACCTTACCCCAACTAATAATAGATTTATTGGATCTTGCCCATTAAAAATTCCACACCAAAGTGTATGAAAAGGATATTCTAAGTGTAATGTAAAGATTCTCAGCACGACATGGGCATCGCCGTTTTCTTAAAAATGTGACGTACTATGCGAAGTATTTTATCAAGTGAATGTATTCAAATTCTGTGTGTAGTGAGGAAATATTTCATTCACATCTTTTTACTATAATCATTGTCAGAACGCAAACTCTCTGCGGTGAAGGTATTGCTTAAACGAAATAGATTTCCAATTTGTTAGCATTTTAACATTATTATTAGTTACACAAAATTATTGTTCCCCTGTGATATATTTTTCACCAAATAATTGATTTATCTTCTCAGCTATGATTTTCTCCCATTTAAAGGTAAATGTTTTGTTGTTGAATTAAAGAGTCTTCTAAATTAGAGCTTGGTGCATAATTCTTGTACAAGTTCGCCTGATTAGTCACATTATCAAGAATATGGCTGCGCTCATGCCATGTCAAAAGACATTCCATCATGCCAAGAATATCTACATCGTTATATCTCTTGTACATTTTCGTAAAGAATATTTATTTCAATAGGCAGGAATAAATCTCATCTTCCAGCCAACCTACACTTATTCTTTGGATTAAGGTTTCCTTTACCTGTTGTTATAATTATTTACCTTTTGACTTCGGCATGTTGTTGTGATGTTGTACTATACGGTGATACTCAGCATAAACAGAACTGCAGAAAGACGGAGACAAATTTCCCACTCCTGCACATGCATGAACAACTCCAATCGACTTCAGAAAGAACAGATTTTTAGCGACTGAAAACGATGTACCTCTGTCTATAAGGGTGTCAAAGATCTGTATGTACTCAAGTTTGTGGGAATGACACTACACTGCGTTCAAAAAGACAATAATAGACTTAGATGTTTATAGACTGACATCGTACGCCCCGCCTCCTCCGTATGATAATAGTATAGTAGTAGAGTGTCAAGTGGCGGATCCTGGGGTGGTGTTTAGAGGGGGCACATATACTCCCCGCCCCTCAGCCAACCCTGTTTTCCTCCCTCCCTCTCTCTCTCTCCCTCTCTCTCCCTCTCTCCCTCTCTCTCTCTCTCTCTCTCTCTCTCTCTCTCTCATACTCTCTTTCTTTCTTCCTTTCTTTCTTTCTTGTTTCTTGTTGCTTGTTATAGAATTGTTTTAGTTAAAGAGAAAAGGATGCATCTCCTGTCAGAGAATCCTACCGGAATTCGCCTCTGGTGTCCCATGATACAAAATTCCCTAAAACCTTGTTTGACTTTAAAAAAAAAAAAAAAAAAAAAAAAAAAAAAAAAATCATTAGGGCCAGTCAAATTTAAGATAACCCTGAGATCGCTATCAGACACCTTGTACCTGGTGATATCAAATATTTACTTCAAGTGAGAATGATTAGAACAATCGATGAGTCAGCAATTTTATTTTATTTGGATCACACGAATCTGCTGAGTAAGCTGATTTGGAATACGGGCCGGAAATTACACACCAATATCAGACATAATTATATTTACTACGGTGAAGATATGAATTTGGTGTAACAAGACAAAAATAATCATTTCGATCCGCTGATATGTATTGGTAAATATTGGTTTAGTGTGTATTTGCCGATAAAGAAACGATAAATGTCTTGGATATGATTAAGGTCGAATGATGTCAATACAATAGCATGTGATTATTTACAAAGTACTGATCATCAGGGAAACGAATAATAAAATCAAATGTCATAATATCTTAATTATTGCGAACGACCCAACGTCGTCCATAGGCTGTGTGGGACATAAGTTGACGAGAAAAGGGGAGGGGGCAGGGGCGAACAGGGATTGAAATTCGGTTGGGGAAAAGATATTTAGTAGTGACCAGGCCAATCAATCATATGTATTCCCAAATTTCTATGTATTATCTTCATATTAAAGATACTATGTCCTTTTTGCAGCCAACATCAACTTCTGTAGAACTTTGCAGGAATTATGAATATGTCGTGTATGTCCTATCTGTGAAATGTCACATTAGCAGTGTCCTAATATTCAAATTATGCAAAGAAACCCGTTTACGTGCTAGACTTCACTGTCAGACACTATTGAGTGACTGATTGGCTTTCTTCTTCTTTGGTAATAACATGCATAAAATGAGCTGTAACGGGTACATGCGCATTTGTCTACATGAATAACCCACTTCTTGTAATGGCCAAAATTAAACTGATTGAATCTTTGCGCAGCATAAAACGTACGACCATTCAGTAGAATGGTCTGAAAATCAGACTACAACTTATTGGCTCTATAGCTCGATTCTACAACTAATAGTCGTTATTTTCCCACTTAAAGACATTTTCAAGCCCCCCCCCCCCTTTTTTTTTAAAGGGAAGTTCTAAATTATTATTATCTTTCAAATGCCGTTGGAATTTAACCTTTTCATTTTGTTTGGCCTGCAAAATGGGACATAGTCCCGCCCCCCCCCCCCTCCCCCCTCCCACTCCTGGGTCGGAATGACCGCATGCGTGTTACCAAAATGTCTGGTGAAGGGGTACTTTTCACGCACCAAAGTCCGGCTCGTAGTACACAAAATTGACTTTACACACCGGACTTAGGGGGTGTTTCCAAAAGGAGGGAACACGCATATGCGTACCCTAAATAACACAGTGAGTGGGGGGGGGGCGGGGACATAGTACCTTTAATACCGTATCGCGCGACAGACATTCCTCGATAACGCAGGCATACGCACGCAATTGCGCTCCAAAAAATAAATCAACTTTTCAATTTTTAGAAATAATTATTATCATATTTACGAGCGAGAATAGCGAGGTAGCACAATGTTGAACCTCTATTAAAAGACAATGCATAAACGATTTCAACATCAAAATAGTGTAGAAAGTTGAAACCACTTCGCTGTTCAAATATTGGTAATTTCAAAATTATCGGGGTATCTTGCCGGAGGGCACATGTCATGACCCCCCCCCCCCCCCCATGCCCCTAATCCGCAACCGAGTTTCGTATAAGAACAGTGTCTGCCATTACAAGGAACTGGCACCTATATTAAATCTCTTGATTGTTATGGCTAGGAGAATGAAAGTTCATTGTTGATCTGATAACGACAATGGTGTATTTAAAGTAGGGGCAAGGGGGCAAATTGCTCCTCAAGGCAAAAAAAAAGGGGGGGGGGGGGGGTACACGAAAATAAAATGCAACCATTGTCTTGTTATAGATATACGAGTAGTTAGCCGGTCAGCATATTATTGCATATCAACAATGTGAACCCATGAAATATAGACATATTCCAAACTTTTTTTTCCACCCAAAATAAATCAATTTTGTTCGATACCCGCCCCCAAACGCAAAGCATGCTCTCAAAAAGTAGTTTTCGGACTGAAAGTATAATGATCACTGTAAGACGGGATGTTAAGCACATCCTTAAGCCAAGGGCTGGATACGCCACTTGATAACGGGATTAAGAATTACGAATAACACCATAACCGTTCTGCCATAGAAGTGAGTGCCCTTGTCCCCCTGTTAATTAAGTCCATTCATTTACGTGTAGTTGTCCAAAAAAAGATGTAGATGGCGTTAACCAGTATTGGCCAAGCCACACTCCCTAAGCTACCAAGATTTACTGTCTCTCGAACCTGCAAACAGATAGATGAGCTTTTTCTGTTATTACCCCCCCCCCCCCCCCCCCCCCCCCAAAAAAAAAAAAAATAAATAAATAAATAAATAAAAAATTTAAAAAAAATAAAAAATCCTGGAACTCCTTACCCCTCCTACTCAAAGGTCGGGTGATTTTCAAATATAAGTTGATTCCTGTTGATGTGCAGGGCTGCATACAACTCAAATTTTCTTATTCAAACATCCAAATATACTTCATAGATTTTTTAATATTTAAAAAAAAAAATTGTTCAGACCTGCTAAGCTCCACCCTAAAAAAAATGCTCATGAGGGGTGTTTCACAAAAATTCTAAGTCGAACTTGACTCTAAGTTAGACTTAAATATTATGGAGAGCCATTTGAAGCCTTATAATGAAATATATTCAAAAGCATAATTCCACATTAAGAACATGAAATCTCCCATAATAGAAAATATGAATGATTTGAATCAACATGTTACGCCTTTTAAAATAACTTTATAAAATATTTTAAAGGATGCTAATGGCTTTCCATAATTGTTAAGTCCAACTTAGAGATAAGTTCAACTAGGATCTTTGTGAAACACCCCCCCCCCCCCCCCAGATCTCATTCATCTTGTGACATCATCTGTCAATCACTAGTGAGCTAAACAAGAGACAGCCCTGTACATCAACAGGAATCAATTTATATTTGGATGTCACCCGACCTTTAACTTTTAAGAATTGCCATTCTCTCAGTTTTTCGAGAAGTGTCTGGAAACAGCTCTTCTCATTTGTTGTAATATTCCTCTTTATTTTTAATTGATGTAAGCTTAGTATGATAATGTTCTATTTTTGTTTGTTTGTTTTTCTCGTTTATGCGCTTTGTATCTAATTAAAAAGCATTGTATTTTATATATTTGGTACAATTTAAAGAGAAACATAAGATATACACACGTACCAATGTGTAAAATACCCTCCCTCCTTCTTATTCTGTCTCTCTCTCTCGCACTCTATCCTGCATTGAATCTCACTTCTCTCTCGTAATCTTCAGTTCCGTAATCACAAATTCACAGCACGATCGAGAATAACGACCCAATAACAAGACGCATACAACATTTCGCCTTTCTTTTCAATTTTACTTGAATGAGTGAACCCAGATGTATAACATTACTGTAAGCAATAGTTGGGACCTGAGCTTAGGTTGCTTAGACCAAACCTGTTTACAAACTGAAGCGTAATGTCTCATAACTTATTCTCCAAACTCATTACCGATCGAGCAGATCGCTTGAACAGTGCAATGTAAACTTGTAAGAATTTCAACGGCTTCTCTTCTGAAACCGTAAACGTTTTGTTACGTCATCATCAACTTCCAATACCGCTGCTACAGACCATCTACATAGTTTTTAGGACACAAGAAACCAACTTAACTAGCCACTATTACTCACAGAAAGATAAGCCTAAAAGTATTACACATTGACCAATGGAGAAACGTAACTATACCGACGCGCGGAAGCAAAGTGACTTGCGCAGTGTAAGATAGTGGTGCTTGTTTTAAATTCACAAAAGGACTAATCTGGTTATGCCTGGTCTGGTCATGCCTGTAAAGGGCAGCATTAATGATTCCACCTTGGTGCAGACTTTAGTATATCTTGAATGAAATCATGTTCATCTTTAAGACTTTGCAAAATTAATAGGTCAAATAATGTGGCTTTTGATCATTAACAATGATCAAAAGAAATGTTATTAGATGCTTGTACTTCTAATTTAAATTTCAAGGACTGAAAATAATTGAACATTTCAAAAAATATATCTGGCTTAGAAGACTGCAAATGTTCCAAGCTAATATCGAGGGTTCAGTGACACAAAGACGTAACTTTATATTTTGCCAAATGAGTATTTGATATCAAAATGTTCAGAAAAATGTGGGCTTTCCAGGAAACATAAAGACTCAACTCCAACCCCATTGAAGTCAATGGCTAGTGACACATAGACTTAACTCCTTAAGGCCCAAGTGCCCAGTGACACATAAACCACTTTTCCTCAAAATGGCCAAAATGGAGTTACGTCTTTGTGTCACCGACCCCTCAAAATGTTCCAAGCCAATATGTAAATATAATATTGGGGGGAGGGGGCAGTATTCTGAAAGCTCAATAAACTTTCCATCAAACTTTCCTTGTAACTTTCCCCTTTATACCAGACCAGGTGAATATCTAACCAGTGTCTCCTGTGTAGTCCCATGTGCTTCTAATGCTGTGTGTGACAACAAGTACAAAACACAGCTCACATATTCTTCCATCACACAGTGCTGAAGCTAAAAGCTTTCAAACGGACATGTAATGTGCTACCTACAGCTAACTACACATGTATCGAGGTGAGATTTGCGATAGGTAGCCTTGTTCCACAATGCAATTTTTGTTTTAAAGGTAAATCCAGTGTTGGTTAAGAGTCAATGGGGTGAAAAAAAGTCTTCCCTTGTAAACATTTGTTTAAAAATGCAAATACAAGTACAGTGTTGGTCAAAATATGAACAAAACAAAAGAAGGCAAAAAAATCCAGGAGTGAGAAAACATATTTCCTTAAAGTTTCCTACTTCTATTCATCAATAAGGGGATAAAAAAACTTCATAAACATTTTCTGTGCGATGTCTGCATGTTTTAGAAATTACAAGTTTAATGCTGGTCTGTCAAAAATACATACAACTGTATTGTGATATGGCTAATATGGATTTAAGTTTTCCTGAGCATAATAATTAAGTTGTAATTATTTTTAAATCACAATTTGGAATTTCTGAACAGAGCAGCATATTTAAAACAGAAAAATAGTAAACAAATAAATAAATAAATAAAAATCCGGCCAGCAGATAAACCTGACCCATCTTCTCCCCGTTTTAATTTTCAAAGCTGAAGAAAACTGATGACCAACTGGGTCTTGTGCTAACTAGATCCACAAAGAAAAAGAAACAAATTGCATTTTGATACAATGGGAGTAATGGTGTTTTCTGTTACACAAATGTGAGGTAAGTCTTTTGACATAACCCCTAATGAGACTTTGGGGGGGGGGGGGGTGGTGATGCATGATCCCCCTCCCCCCCCCCCCCCAAAAAAAAAAAAAAAACAACAACAACGTAGGAGATTTTGCAATCCAAGACTTACACCTCTTCTTACAAAAAACTATGAAAATCGTACATACCATGATTTATAAAAAAAAAATGGAAACTAATCAAAAATTAAAGCATCATTTTGCAACTGTTATTATGACAATGTACTCGATCAACTTTGTAATGTGTAAAGCTTTTTTTTTTTTATACCTTGTTGTATTGCAAGCTGTATCGTCCAAGGTATAAAGCTGAGATGGTCAATTATTAACAGGGCAATACTGGTTTAATAGCAAAAGAAACAATTTCTTCCTAGCCTCACATAAAAAATGGGTACCCCGTTAGGATGCTAAAGTCAACAAGAGTGATGAACACGCCCGTACAACAACTGGCTGGACTCCTCCCCTGAAGAATAATCGAATCCAAGTGATTGGGGGAGTAATAATACTGGAAGCGCTTTGGTAAAGCACTTCCAGTTAATTGGTAAAGCGTTTCATAATAAACAATCATTATAATTATCACCATGACTTATGTGCAATGTAGTTTTGTATTGTTTGCAAGTGGAACAAGGCTACCCGAACTGAGTGGTGTTTCCTACGTACATTTACCAACGGTGTTAACGACCTCTCTCCTTTTTGTGCTAATGTTACGTGTGAAAGAGGCTCCTTCATTCTATACTGATTCTAGTGTGAGTAGACTACAGGAAATAGGGTGCGTTCACATGTGATGCTTCATTTCTCATAGCTGTCTGAACTCGTTCTTACAATAAGGTTAAACATTAATGTGAGCGTATCTGCTTCACAGAATATGTTTATAATGATTCTTGAGTGCATAAATCTAGATTACAGGTTAGAGGTCTTGTTCACATATGATGCTTCATTTCTCAAAGTTGGAAAAGTTCATATTAGCTACAACACAAATCCTGATTTTGAATGTCTATTCATTAATTAATTGTCACAAGCAGTGCAACCCGTATTTATGCCCTTTGTTGGGGAAATTTCAGCATATTTTTAGTCACTTTCTGCACACCAGTAGTCTACAAATAGTTTGTACAGCCTTTATAGGTTTGTATGGTTTAAAACAGAAGGATAACATAACTGGCATTACTAGTAATTAACCTGTATATGTATTTGCTTAACTCTGTATTGGCTTATCTTTGTCTACACCTGAGACATGCATATCACCAGTCTGCGTAGAACCAGAATGGCGATGCATGTAACCCTGTGCAATAAAGACACAAGCCAACAGTAGCCAGCGCGAGAGTCAAGTAATCGACTCTACCTGACTCCCGTCGAGAGCAACGAGAAGTCGACTCCCATTTATTCAGAGTCAAGTATTTGAGCCTCGCAATTCCACAGTTCTGTGACTCAATTCCGTTTTATGATAATACATAAGAGCCTTGGCATTACGCAGAACATATCCAACTGTATTTGGAGTAATGGGATACTGACTCTAGATCACAATACATCATTATCTTTATCCATAATGTACTGTGTGTATCCGTAATATGAAAAGACCTCATGCCATCCAGTTGAAGAATATTAAACAAAAAATATTATGTCAAGAGGTAGAATGACGTTAACTCTGTATCGGATTAAGTAAAATTAACACCCTTTTGGCACTGAGCAGATGATACATACATGGTAGCTTGAGAGCAGAGAGGCATTTAACTCTACCAATAACTTCAAAGGGGCACTTTGGGATTGTAGGGGGGGGGGGGTGGGGGGGGGGGACAGTTTGAAAATTGATGGACATCATCCACTTTCTATGGCAAATCCAGGAAGAGTGTCCATGAACAAAACAGAAAGCATGATTTATCATTGATGCAATTTCATATTGGCCTATACCTGAGAATGCAGGGGAATTCCCTATTAAACTGAAAATCTTTTTCCTTTAACCTAAAACATATCTTGATAAGGTCATTACAACAATATCATTATGATTGAGGATCACCAACAAAAAAAACAAGCACACAAGAAAAAGGGATGAAATTGAATCCTCAGCCTCAGACTGCTCACAAGAGCAATATTATCAAATTTGATACAAATTCAGTATTAGGCTCAAGACAGCTGTTTGGTCAGTTCTGCTTTACAACACTTTTTTCTTCCAGTTCCTGATTTATATGTTTTTAGAATTAATCACGCTTATCATTACATCCTTTCTATATAATACAAAGTGTGGGGGGGGGGGCTGCTTGATGTTGGCAAGATTGCAGAGATCACACCTGCTACCTCAGCAGCACCAAAAAAATGAATCAAAACGTACTTCAAACCAAACATTTTTTTTTACCACTGGGGTAACGTTAAGAAATCTGACTGCAGTTGGTCTGGTGTTGGTCTCATTGGTTTCTCTTGGTACTGTGGAATAGATCCAATTAAACGCAATGTTTCAGATGATTGTGATCGTTGCCTACCTCTCTATGTAACTTGTCTGTTCAAAGCCAGAAAGGAATCAACTCCTTTCAAGAGTTAATGCCCTTACAGATAAATTCTACGTGTATGGGGAAAAAAGAATAGATATACCAGTATGTTTAACCAATGCGCTTGAGAATAGACCGATACAGTACACTATGAAGCCCCATACATTCTGTAAACTTTGAAACTATCAAAGACCTGAATTGGAGAGGTGTAAGGGCTAGAAATTGAGCAATATTCTGAAAACTGGCATCCCTGATGGAAGCAATAAGTGGTTATCTACTTGTGCTTCAATCATATCAAAATGTTTGTGATCTTTAACTTTAAATATCTATCAATGTTCAACAGGAGCCATTGAGGAAGCATGAGACAACACATGTGGACACCCTTTGTTTTTCTGGAGTATGAATGAAACGGACCGTTCTATGTGAGCTATGTTACAAACAATAAAGCGACAACTTTGACAAGCACGAAAAAATGAAGCATCACACCATGACTAAGCACACCTTGGCAAGAAGATCCTTATCTGTTTTCTCTTTCTCTCTCTACTTATGTTCTAGTTACTCTTAGGTCTGTAGATGGCTGCATTGGGGTCGAGCCCCGATGACTTGGCGGGGGAAGTCCCCTGCGACTGTGCACCAGGGGGAGGGGTCCCTGGGTTGGATCGCTGCTGCTGCGGTTGCTGCGGTTGGGGCGGTGGCGTTGGTTGCTGCTGAACGAGGGGAGATACCCCCGCCATTGGCTTGGTGACCGCCGCTGGTTTGGAGCTCTCGTCGGCCTGTGACTGACGCGGGCTGCAGAAGTTGACGGAGTACCGCGGGGTGGCGGGTGCACTGCCAGAGGTGGAGGTTGAAGGGTAGTTAGCCATGGGCATTACTGCCATCAGGTCAGCTATGGTTGATTTTAACTCACGGATCTCAGAATCCTTGTGATGTAATTGACCTACACAACACAAAATAAAAGGTAGAGCGCAGTTCTTTAGTATTGTTCATCTACAGAAAAAATACTCACTGATGTATCACATCATTAAATATTTCAATGGCGTAACACAGGGCACCAGTCATATAAGGTCTCATATAGTATAACAAACTAAAAACATTACAAAACTAGATGGAACTTTGACTGCGCGCAGTCGAAAATGATGCCTCCGTCAAAGAGCGATTTTACAAACCGAAACAGAAGAAATTTTTTTAATTCAAGTTCAATTGTAATCCATTAACAGGTTCTCAGAATATCTTGATTACAAGCAATTTCTCATATACATATATGACCCTTTGATCTTTGACCTCATGACCCTAAAATCTACTCAGTTAATTGGCTCTGCAAGATGTCCCGAGTTAAATAGTAATCCATCTGTCAGTTCTAATGAGAATGCATTCACAAGCTATTTTTGCATACATAATGAGCCCATGACCTTTGAACTTTGACCTTTGAACTCATGACCCAAGAATCTACTCATTTCATTGGCTCTGCAAGATACATACATGATCTAAGTTTGGCAGGAATCCATCAATCTGTTCTAATGATAATGCGATCACAAGCTATTTCTGCATACATAATGAGCCGCATGACCTTTGACCTTTGACCTCATGACCCCAAAATCTAATCAGTTCATTGGCCCTGCAAGATACATACATGACCAATGTTTGGAAGGAATCCATCAATCGGTTCTTCAGATAACGCGATCACGAGCTGTATTTGCATACATAATGAGCCATGTGACCTTTGACCTTTGACCTTGTGACCCCCAAAATCTAATCAGTTCATTGGCTCTGCAAGATACATACATGACCAAAGTTTGGCAGCAATCCATTAATCGGTTCTTCAGATAACGCGATCACGAGAACGGGACGTACGTACGGACGGACGGACAACCCAAAAACATAATGCCTCCGGCTACTTCGTAACGGAGGCATAATTAACCTTATTATTATCATTATTATTTTGAAGAAAAAAAACACAATGCCTCCACAACCACCTACAGTGGGCCGAGTCATAAAAATAAAAGACTCTCAAATCAAAAAGCAAACTACAGCAAACTTGTGGCAAAGATCAAGTTTGAAGACCACCTGAGTTATTTGATTCACTCGTAATAACCTAGCCTCAAGTTTAAACATCACTTGAAACTTACTAGCAGCTATTTCAACCTGTCGCCTTGCATCACCCAGAGCCGAGAAGAGATCTAGCTTGAGTTTGGTCTCCGCCCTAAGACTGTTTTCCAGCTGAGCTGTTTTATCTTGCATGGCTACCAGGGCGTTCATCAGCCTCTCGTTATTGCTCTGGATTTCCTGACGTTCACGGAGCTGTGAAAGGCGAACAAAAACATACTTTCTACTGCTAGTTATCAAAACTCATGTATAAAATTTGCAATGAATTGTTCGTTATATATTTTTAAAACTGCAAAAGAAAAAGAAAATCAAACAGAAACTAAAAACAAGGGAAAAGCTCTCGGCGGTCTCGCCTGCATAACGCAATTCAATATGATAAACCAGAACTTCAATGACGTAGCACTCATCCGCATCTCGCAACAACAAATATCGTAAATTTTATGTGGTACACTTTTGAACTGATCAAAAAATCAAAATTTGATGCCCTGGAAGGGACATAATTTCATTTCATTCTCATAAAGTACCATAAATAATCAATGGAGCAAAATCTCTAAATTCTGTGTAGAAGTATAGTGTACCAAAGTTAGCTCTGTGATATAAAGCAAACCAAATCAAAATCGGTCGAAATATGAAGGAGAAGAAGCATTTTTTGTGATTTTTAAATTATTTTTGGAATAAATTTGCATAAATTACCATAATTAATCAATGGAGTAAAATCTCAAAATTCTGTGTAGAAGTGTAGTGTTCCAAATTTAGCTCTACCAGATAAGGCAAACCAAATCAAAATCGGTCAAGAAATGAGGGAGAAGAAGCAACTTTTGTTATTTTTGGAATAAATTTGCATATATTACCATAATTAATTAATGGAGAACAATTTCAAAATTCGGTGTAGAAGTTTAGTGTACCAAAGTTAGCTCTACCAGATAAAGCAAACCAAATCAAAATCGGTCGAGAAATGAAGAAGAAGCATTTTTTGTGATTTCCAATAAATTTGCATAAATTAGCATAGATAATGGAATTTCACGATTTTGAGTAGCATTTTTAAATCCCTCTCCTAGCACTATCATATGAATCAATCAGAATCATAATCGGTTGAAAAATAATGAAGAAGAAGCATTTTGAATATCTTGATGTTGATGCCACAACAAAGTCTAAGTTTGTTGACCTTAAATGACCTTTGACCTTAACTTAGTGACCTGAAATTCTACTCACATGATTGGGGAGACTTGATAACCCTATAGTCCAAGTTTCATTGACTAAGAACGTATACTTTAAAAATTATATTAAAAATTTAAAAACTTAACCTTAGGTAAAGTTTTTGATGTTGACGCCGCCGCCGCCGTCGCCGTCACTGGAAAAGCGGCGCCTATGTCTCGCTTTTTGCTATGCAGGCGAGACAAAAATCAAAGTAATAACAATAATAAAAAATAGTGTTTTCGAGAAAATTATGATTATTTTGTTTTGTCCGTTCGTTTTTTTTTCCTCTTTGAAATGTCAAAGTTGGGGGTGCTGCCTATGCGGCGGTGCGGCCTATCGCCGGCAAATACGGTATTCATAATTTATGCAAATTAACCTATGCATTTTCAAATATCATAAAAATAATGAAACCTCATGAATTTGAGATGAAGGAAACATTTATTCAATACATTTTCAAGATCTTCAAAACTCTACAGACAAATATGTAGAGTTTTGTGTAAAATGCATAAAATTAGCATTTTGCATAATTAATTAGGCTATAACGACAAAAATTTGCATATTAGGAAAAAACTAATTATACCATCTTGTTCCTTACGTAAATATCTACAAACGTGCAAATTTTTGTGTTCATCGGACAGTCGACGGCCGAGATCATAGGGGGGGGGGGCCTCCCAGGCCCCCCCCCCCCCCCCCCCCCTGTCAGTGAGGTACTCAAAATAGCCCAGTACAGTAGGGTTAAGGTCGTTAAGAAATGTTTTTCGACAACATACAGTCTGACAGTCAGCAACAAATATCTAACAATTTGGCCTCACAACAGCTGAGAGAATACTATCTTTGGCTACGTGGCTGGATAGCTTACCTCAATATTTTGTTCTAAATCTCTTAATCTATCTCCTTTGTCTCTTGTTTCCTTCAATAAATGTTGAATCTCGCTTTCCTGGTCCTGGCGTCTCGTGCGACAGTTTTCCGTGCACTCTTCCACGCTACTGTGTCAAACAAATACAAAGGAGCAAGATACAGACCACTACAACAAACACAAACAAACATATATTCATCAGTTACTTCAAGTGGTTTTGCAAGGATATGTGTCAAACTTTTTTTAAAGTCCTAGTAATTGTGACAATATATCCACTGAACATACAGGCCAAGGGCTGAAATTGTTCAATTTAAATACGGTAACAAAGAGTAATATTGCTGAGAAATGAATGAATTCTTAAAAAAAAAAAAAATAAATAAAAGTTGCACAGGAAACACAAGAAACTTTACCATGGACCCTAAAAAGCAAATAGACCATTGTATTTTGTTGATGACTTTCATTTGCATGGATGCATTGATAAACAAATTCCCACATTTTTGTCTGGGTGAAAAATAATTGCAGCCCTAGAAAACAGCAATTTTAATAATGCAGAGGCTCTCCTGGGTAGGTAAGACCATACTGCAATATAATAATAATTTTATATTTTATATATTAAATTATTATATACACTCCTGACGACAGACAGAAAGTCAACCTGTTTGAAACATTAAGCTCTTCCTACTACCCATCCTCTCCAACCGGCACTACAGAGCTGCCAACCTCCAGAACAGAAAATCAGTAATCATGAGGCTCAAATTCAGTAATTTGGGGAATAAATCAATAATTTCTTATGAAGCGCCATGAATCTAAAAAGAATGGCAAGCGGACACATGCGCGCATGATTATCTGAAATTTTTTGTGATTTCATCCCACAAAGTTGCTAAATAATGATTTTCAGTTCATCACAACACATAAGTTTTCAATGAAAAATTGGCTTCTATTAACAGAATACTTGATACTTTTCCATCTTTCTCATGCAGCGAGTGTTGGATGGCCACCATACTGCACAGCACTTGCTACGATAGATCCCTATGCGCAAACAAAACAAAACAAATCTTCTTCTTTTTTTTCTTTTTTTTGTAATCCGTAATTTTAAGACAACATTCCGTACTGCCGTAATGATCGTTAATTTATGTACCAATTACGGGAAATCCGTACTAGTTGGCAGCTCTGGCGCTATAGTACTATAAGCTCAAGAAAGATTACCAACAGTCCTTTTCAGGACTCCCCAATCCTCCCCCCTCTCTCACATGGTGCAACCAAAAGCCTATTGTATATTATTATATATCAAGGGTTCAGTGACACAAAGACGTAACTCCATATTTTGCCAAAATGAGTATTTGATATCAAAATGTTCAGAAAGATGTTGGCTTTCCTGGAAACACAAAGACTTAACTCCACTCAACACCCACATTGAAGTCAATGGCTAGTGAAACATACACTTAACTCCTTAAGGCCCAAGTGGTCAGTAACACATAAACCACTTTTTCTCAAATTGGCCAAAATGGAGTTACGTCTTTATGTCACTGACCCCTCGATATATCATAATTTTAAAATGATATGCATAATATCTTGGCAATGACGGCATCCAATCAATGCATCACTTTAATACCTTGCATGAGAATATTGTCTGCAGGATTCTTCAGCTTTTCTACTTTTACGTTCTTCCTTGAGCAGGTTCTCAAGAGAGGTTCTCCCATCCCTCTCCTGCTTGACCTTCTTCTCAAGCTGAATTATGTTCTGCTTGTCCTGCTGCTTCTGGGTCACCAAATTATGCAATCTGTGATGAGAGGTCAAAAGGTTAAAGGTCACGTTCAATTTGAGGATTTCAGAAAGCAAACGGCTATTGAACTGTACACACATGCAAATGCTTTCCTTTGAAATACATACATCATTTATTTTTATTTCTAGCTCCTAATATCAGAATCCATAAAATTTCAGATATAAAAACATATCTGTTGTACGATGCCTAATTGCCTATCAAATGATAAGAGAGAGAGAGAGAGAGAGAGAGATCGACAGACAGAGAGAAAGAGATAGAAAGAGAGAGATCGACAGACAGCGAGATAGAGATAGAAAGAGAGAGAGAGATCGACAGAGAGATAGACATAGAAAGAGACAGAGAAAGATAGTGAGAGAGGGAGGAGAAGGGGGAGAAAGAGAGGGGGTGAAAGAGAGGGGGAGAAAGAGAGGGGGAGAAAGAGAGAGACGAACCTGTTTTGAAGGGACTCATTATCTTTTCTATACTGTTCCATGACCTCCTTATCTTGTATTTCATCAGCTAATATACTGTTGACTTGGTTTCGAAGGTCACTCTCTACCTGACGACTGGCCTGAAGGTCAGCCTTCAGCTTCTTTATATCAGACTCCAACCTGTAGAAGATCAATAAGACATCTCTTAGTTAACTTGACTTCTCGCTTTAAAATAACTCTTTTAAATTGTACTAAAAAGAGATAAAAACTGACTAAACAAATTTGACGGGTTATACTTCCACTAAGCTGATGTTAAGAATGACTAACAACTTTATTAATCACAATAGTCCACAACAATAAAATAGTATTGAAAGAATGCAAAGGCTCATTCCTGATTGACTGCTACAGCCAGTGAAACTAACAGCCCAGGATACTGAAAGCACGGAAGACCTACAACGTCAGTCTTACAGGGACCGGTTTCACAAAGAGGTTACACAAAGAGGTTACAATCGTGCTATTGCCCGAGTGTAACCTCCCCTTGAGCGTATAAAAACAACAATTTCTCTCAAAGCAGTCATTATTACTATACTAATGCCCTCACTGCTGTGTATTGTTTGTACACTGCACTATACTCTTACCTAGCTATGGTATACTTGGAAGGATCCGTCTTAACTTGCTGGTTGGTGCTGTTCATCGTTCTGGCTTGCTCCGCACTAACGTTTGTATCCTTATCTTTATCTTTATTTTCTAGCTTGGAAGGCAGCGGCTTCGGCTTTCTACTCCCCTGCCCCGAGGAACTGTTCTCTTTCATCACGGGCGAAGGGTTGCGCTGCCGCGTCGACGACCCCACCGAGATCTGTTTCAGATTCTTGGCTTGCGTCTGCTCGTTGGCAAGATTTTCCTTTACGTTGTCAAACTCGTTCACAGAGTGACTGCTCGTCGTCGACGTCGACGATGACGACGATGATGATGACGAAGTAGAGGAGGAGGAGGAGGAGGATGAGAGTTGAGAAGTCTTTGTTTCTATGTAATTGCCATCCTGCGGAGTGGTCGACGTGGACTTGGCATGCGTGCTGGCATTGTTTGCTCCGACATGTTTATTACGGCTGTCTTTAGTCACATTGCTTCTCTCATTGCCTCCACCACCACCTCCGTCCCCTGCGGGGTGGTTCTTTGGTTGCTTGCTACTCGGAGACTCTTTCTTACCACCGACTCCATTCGCTACAGGCTCGTCAGGCTTTTTACTCACAGCTGTTGAGGATCAAAAATACAAATAGTTCCGAGCTTTATCCCTTTCATTGCCATCAATATCACAAACGTCTCAGAATAAGTATGTACTCACTAATGTTAAGACCAGTCAATAGAGATACAAATTAGAAAGGCAGTCTTTTATGTTTCTGCTTCATGTTATTTCAATAAACAACATGCGATCTAGGGAAACAATGTGGTCTTTACAGGCAGATGGTCACTAAAGCGAGTTAGACTTTATGAAAGTCACGGAAAGATATCATATACAGGGCAATTTTTCACACTCTTATACGTATCAATGTGCATTAATCCTCATTACCAGGTCCCCCAGAGAGTACCTAAAGCAGTCGGTTCTCTGGAAGCTCACGAACAAGCATTTATGCTTTCTTAGCAGTCAGGTAACATAACCACCACCACCACACAAGTCACTCATGAGTTAAAACTATAAGTATGAAAAGTGCTTGGTATTTTATTCTTAGTAAACTTGTGCTTTACTCATAGTCCACTGTGAAAAATCAAACACTACACAAGAATATTCTCACCTTTTGTAGGTTTTTCAGCTGGAGCGACCGCGACGCCATTGGCCGCCTGCTGCTCTGGGGGCAGTGCCTGCTGCAGGAGCTGCATATAAAAATCATTCTCCTTTTGAACCTCTTTCTGCTTCCTCAGCCTCATGCGATAGCTCACATAACTTTTGAAGTTGAATCCTAGAGTAACTACCGGATAGCCAATACTGAAAACAAACGGGATCAAAGAATTGTATTCATATGATTTATCCAAAATGTTCTTGACACAGCCACACTGCTTTGGTAGATGGTCGACGGTTGAAATACAGGCTTGCAAAACATTTATTTGAAAAAATTGAAAAAATTGACAACAAAATATGTATGCAAAAAGATAAATAGATTCAGCATATACTCCAGGAAGTGCCCATTAGATATTGTAGATGGTTTGGCAATGTTTCTTTCATTCCTGATATTAAAAAAATTACCTGATGATGGAATTGGAAACAATATACTTTATAATCTAATCAACCTTGCATATTGGGAATGGTGGCAATTCTTACCTGGTAATCTCAAAGGAAAATAAGTGAATGCTTCTGAAAGGGTTCAAAACTGTGATTAAAAACTTGTTCGCCATGAACTCTTTATTAAACTGACAGTCATAAACCCTTGCAACGCCTCCACAATTCTTCAGACCAACACTACTTTACTTTTTATACATGTACCTGATGTGACCTTGTACAACAAAGGCAAATGGGGAAAAAATTGTAATAAAAAGTATTGGAAATCTCATAAATCATGTCAATAAAAAATCAATAGATTTACTCTCAGTTTAGGACGCATTGTCTGATTAACGGGGTGCATAAAAGACTTTTTCACACATAAGCTGAAGCACCTTTTCATTTGTAAATGAATGATAACAGGGGATAAAAAAAATAACTGCACGCAACACAGGTCCTTTGGCATATCCAATCCAATCCAAGTATTTATAAAGCGCCAATATCTAGTTGCCTATTAAATCAAAGGCGCTGATGAGACTGAAGAACTACCAAACATGTCTGTTCATGATTCTAACTGGGAAAGACTGCAGTGACTAATTGTAAGCAATCTGAAATAGGTATGTCTTTAGTTGAGTTCTGAAAGTGGCATACAGGTGTAGTCGCTTTATCTGTATGTTATAAGATACAGAAATGTAGAGCATAACGTTATAAGTCATTATAAAAAAAGAAACATCAAGGTCAACTGCCTGCTATATAAACGATGTACGATAGAGCAAGATGTATTTGCTTAATATTACACCAAAGATCTACTTACCAGTGAGCAGCGAATGGCCTGCATAAATCCAGATGAAATGGAACCACTGATCTTAACCCTCTGAGTCTTACTGAAGCTTCAATGTATACAAACAGCAGCCATAAAGCCACCGTCGGTAAACAGATGCCTCGATCTATAAAAGGAGGAAATGCAACGGAATATGAGATCAAGGAAATTGTGATCAGCATGTTAAACAAATGAACGTGTACATCACATGGTGACACCTGACATTAGCACTGGTGGATAAAATCTGATCAATCGTGACAAAGAATAGATTTTTTAGCCGATAGTATCAAAATCATGAATTTGTTGCTGTTCATGTTTTTTTAAACAGGATTTCCGCTTCCTGACATCTCCGTAGGTTGCAAAAGAGTTTAATAGCTTGGAGCCCTGGATTACAGCTAGGGCTCATCTGAATAACGCACTTCAGTTCTTAGAGTTCATACCCTAACTTTAGCAGCGATGATTACAACTTTCTAAACTACTTTTTTTATCCCTTTATTATAACAATTGAAGAAAAAATTGACAAACTTTCTTGTTGGTGCCTTTCTACAGAAGACACCTTGGGGGTGTTTCAGAAAGGTCCTAAGTCAAACTTATCTCTAAGTTGGACTTTAAAATTATGGAGAGCCATATATGTATGTAGCCTTAAAATAAAATATATTAAAAAGCGAAAAATCAAGTATTTTAGACTTTTTATAATTTCCACATCAAGAAAAAAAAAATTGATATTACTTTAACAAAATATTTTCATAGATGCTAACGGCTTTCCATAATTGTTAAGTCCAACTTAGAGATAAGTTCAAATTAGGATCTTTGTGAAACAGCCCCCAGACAGTGTAGAGATGCTACTCACCAGTATGCCACACAAACTGGACCCACACGTAGGTGCTGGCTGCAAAGAAGAGCCAGTGCACTGGGATGAACAGCAGGCAAATCATGTCCGACGTGAAGGCAATGAAAATGAAGAACACCGAGAAGGCCTGCCAAAAGAAATAGTGATAACAATGGTTAAAGATAAATGTAAAGTGTACATGTATATACGCTAAAAAGAAAAGGCTGAATTCAAATCTTGACAGAAAGAATAAAGGCAATTAAAAAAAGAAGAACACTGGGAAGGCCTGCTAAAAGAAATATTGACAAAGAACGGTTAAAGACACATTTAAATTCTCAAAAATGGAAAAGATCGAATTCAAACCTTGACAGAAAGAATGAAGGCAATGAATACGAAGAGCACAGAGAAGGCCTGCCAAAAGAAATATTGATGAATAACGGTTGAAGATAGCAGATACATGTATATTCTAAAAAAGGAAAGGTTGAATTCAAATCTCGACAAAAAAATGATGGCACTAAAAAAGGAGCATATAGAGAAGGCCTGCAAAAAGAAATATTGATATACAATGATTAAAGGTACATGTTTATTATTCTAAAAAGGAAAATATTGCATTCAAATCTTGACAGAAAAATTGAAGGCACTGAATATGAAGAAGATTAAAGAAGTCTTTCCAAAAGAGAAAATGATAAACAAGATACTTGTATATTCTGAACAGGAACAAGTTAAATTGACAATCTTCATCTTGAAATATATACAATCTAGCTTTTGATGCAGTAATGTCTGAAGATATAAACTTTAAAACTAGAAAGTTCACTAAATGAAACTTTGCAAATTGTTAATATAGCGATTTTTCATGGCAACACCTTTTACAAATCTTAAAAATTCACTGATGTGTTGATGCGGTTCCAAGTGAAATCAATATAAAATCTGAACAAGACAAGATAAAAAGGCCTTATGTTTTGTCAGCTATTTGTGATTGAATTGTTAATTATCTCATAAAAAGAGTAAGAAGAAGATTATAAATTCTACACAGCTCATCAATTCCTGTACTCTCAACTACGCTAAAATGACGGAAATGTCAAGTGAAATGTTTTGTTCGACAAACATCAACATTTTGAAAAACAGATTTACAATCAACAGAACATTTCTATTTTTAATAATTCCTCACTTGGAGGACCCTTGAGAGACTCTTTGCATACACAAAATATTATAATGTAATACTCAGAAGTCTCCATAAACAACATGTATGTTTTCTTGAAAGGTTACTGGTACATTTTGTAAATCATATGCTTTCACAAATTCAGATACATGTATAAACTGTATTTCATTTAATTCAAATCTCTCTCATCCATTTTGAGATCAAGACGTAGAGGCACAAAAAGAAACGTCCGTAACGGAAAAAGGCATAATTGTTTATGATGTCGGTGAATTACAGTCGTAATTTGACATACTGTACACAGTATTAAATGTATTTGAATGACAGGTTTGACATTATGTGGCCTAGTCTGTGTCATACAGTTATTTCACCTGCTCCTCATCATCACGTCATGCCATGGTTACAGTTTGATGCCATAAAGTTAAGATTATGCGTATATGTAGCGTTCTGGATGCATTTTCTGTGCCACTACTACGGTTCATTGTAGTGTCAGTATACCTACATGTACATGTACAGTGTACCATCCTCCTAGTCCAACATAAAAATGGGAAATCTCTCAATTTCAAGACAAAATTAAGAATACAGTATACTTTGCATATATTTATACTGAAATTTAAAAATAAATTGAATCTGTGGCTCAAAAGATCAGCTGGAAGCTCAAAAATAGGAACTGTGCTTCCAATTGCACTACAAATCTATGGAATAAAACCCCTGTATTTTTAAGAAAACACATACGGTACATCATTTGACTTCTTCATAAAGCAGCTGAAAACATACAGTGTACCTCTACAATTCTTCTTAATTCATTTATAGACTAAATTACAAAGACCACCTGTCTACAAGGACCACATTTTTTGTTTCCCATGAAAATGGTTACTCATTAAAACATGAACTAAAGATCCCTGTACATGAAGACCACCTGCCTATAAAGACCACTTTTTTTATCTTACTTGGGTGGTCTTCATAAACAGGTTTCACTGTACATGTACGGTTTTGAAGTTGTAGGTACATGTACAGTACCGTATTTGCCGGCGTAAAGGCCGCAGTATTTTTGGAAGAGAAAATATCAAAAAGTCGGGGTGCGGCCTTTACAATGAAAGAGTAAAAAAAAAAAAAAAAAGTGTCAAAACCAACACGAATTTGCACGTATGGGACTAGAAACAGTAAAATAACAATACCACTATGGTACAGGACATTTCCAAACATCTTACCGACAATTTTATTTTGCATTGTTGACATGAAGACGAAAATAAACGTCCTAACACAACATTTGCCGATAGATCTTGATCTAAGTTCATGCCAATGCATTGCAAAGGTAAAAGAAGGGACAGTCCAACGGAGCTGCCGCGCACATCCATCCGAAGTCGCCATTTTGTTTTTCCATTTCATGCAGTTTCGCATTACACCGTACATTGTGGTAGGGGTATATCGGACACCAAATCTGCCTGCGATCACTTTTTTAGCTAAACTTCCGGTAAATTATAAGAATATGGATGAATTTGGTATCAGTTTGTAAAAAAAAAAATAGTGTTTTCGAGAAAATTATGATTATTTTGTTTTGTCCGTTTGTTTTTTTTGTTTTTTTTTCCCTCTTTGAAATGTCAAAGTTGGGGGTGCGGCCTCTGCGGCGGTGCGGCCTTATCGCTGGCAAATACGGTATGTCTAAAGGGGCTTTCACACCGGGCCTTGCGTAGAGTTGCGTAGCGACTACGCCGATCGTACGCAACCCTACGCCGATCGTACGCAACCCTACGCAACTGTACGCGGAGGGACGCGAATGGGTACGCGAGATGAACGCAAAAAATTAAACATGTTTAATTTTTTTCGCGTACCTTCGGCGTAGACTTTACTACGCAACTGTACGCCAAGCCTACGCAACTGTACGCCAAGCCTACGCTACTGTACGCCAAGCCTACGCAAATGTACGCCAAGCCTACGCAACAATACGCTACCCTACGCCAGTCCGACGAAGCATTAAAAACGTATGGTATAAAGATTTTTTTTAGGACCTGGATGTAAACTTGGCAGATATTGATCATTGATCATTCTTGCTTGTTATTCTGTTTGTACTACTACAAGGTATTTCAGACTGACATTTTTTGTTTTGTTATGGTTTTTTCAATTTGTGATAATTGACATCTCAGGCTGTTGATATAATAAACAGAGATAAGATTCATAAACTGATGCCTCATGCGAAAATTGTATTATGTTTTGTGGAAATCTGTATGTATTTGTGTCGGTTTGTTTGCTTGTGTGTACGTTTGTGGTCCTGTTTGTATGTTTGTAATATAATTTGTTTAATTGAAATGAGCAAAGAAATAATTTTTTCTCACTCTGTTAGTGAGACTGAGTGAGTGTGTATGTCAGAAGTATTTCTTTAATTTTAATAAATGACTAACATTTATATCATTACATTGTCACACACAAATACGCTACGGACCAAGGACAACGAATATCGTCTTCAAACTTTCAGGAAACTGTTATGGAATGATATTTTACAAATGAGTGAAAAAAGAGATATGGTCAACAAATATCAGACTGCTGTCCACATTTATTCACAAATCAAAATAAGTGCTCTCTTTTGTTGGCGTTTTGAGGTATCAAATCACATCACGTGACCTTGCAATGTTCATCAAAAGAAAGTTCATATATTACCCTTTTGAATGATACATAGTACAATAATGTAGTACATCAACAAAAATGTCTGCATTTTTTTGGAAAATAAAATCTTGAACAAATTAACATTACTGCAAAATAACCTCAGCAGTTGCTAATACCTACTAAAAAAACTGAAAATTTAACGGTCAAAAACGTGTACCGAATGCCACTTTTTACTATAAAAACTTATGGCAGGTTTATAAATGTTATTTTCTGCACTCACTATTTTACGCAAATTGGCGTTTCAGCCCTATTTCACGCATGCAAAAGAGACCCACTGCCCCTTGGATGTCACAGTTTGTCAGAATGTTATTATTATACTAAGATCAAGTTATGTTCACATGTAATAACATGTACAATTCTTTGTACACTGCACAGTTTATTTATACAATAAATTGAACTGTTTTTTAACATATTTTTTTTATTATATATGTTTATAAAGCGCCAATGGCTATACTCGCGGCTCCTACGAGCGTCTATTGCATTTTTACATGGCATTTTCTCCCACAGTAAGCAACCGTACGCAACCGTAAGCAACCCTACGCCAGGCCTACGCAACCGTAAGCAACCCTACGCCAGGCCTACGCAACCGTACGTAACCCTACGCCAATTGCCTACGCCGAAGGTACGCGGTGCCTACGCACAGGGTACGTAACTATACGCCGATCGTACGCAAGCCTACGCATAACCTACGCAGGGACTACGCCGAAGCATCAATTTATTCATGAGTACGCAGCTTAACTTCGGCGTAGTCGGTACGCAACACTACGCAACTCTACGCAGATCCGGTGTGAAAGGGGCTTAAGGCATCTTACCAGGCCTTGGTACTTGTAGGAGTCGTAGATGCTTCTTAGCAGCAGCCAGACTGGCCAGAGATACTCAAAGCGGAACTCCAGGAGAAAGTCAAGCAGCAGGACAAAGCCCCATATTCCAAGGAATTTCAGGTAGAGGAAAGTACTACTGTGAACGTGAACAGAAAAAGGGAGCGAGAAGAGGAAAAATGTTGAAAATGAGTTGAATTTTAGCAACAATAACAAATCATTACAAGCATTGTACAAAGAGAGTAGCGTGGTCTATAAGAGAAGTCCCCACAAAAATCTATTGTCATGTTATTAGCTTTGAGAGCTGTTACAGGACGACATAATGTAGGTCGTGGCCATCCATCTGGCCAAACAAAATCTGTTGTCCTCTATAAACTATTTTCCTTTGAGAATTCCAATTTGTTTCAGTTTTCATTATATTGAAATCTATTCTATATGAATACGGTAGTACCTTATCTGCAAACGTTTGGAAACAACACCATCAAGGAGATATTCACAATTGAAGTAAAGAACCACAATGCTGTAAAATCTATTGCCAAGGGCTAAATCCTAAATTTCAACACCAAAAAATGAACATATATGTCTCATAACATAAAGGTGAAGTACATGTGCATGTACCTGTATTATAGGGCTGTGAACTACCCTTTTTTAACCAAGGGTACCACTTCCCACCCCCCCCCCCCCCCACCACACACACAAACAAAAATGATAGTTATTTCTAGCCACTCCATCTTTAACAACACTACAAAATATAGAAAACATTTTACATTGCCATACAACATGTAAAGGTGTACACAAAAAGGTATAAATTTACAACCAGTGGCGTGGTATGGCATCGTTCCAGCTGTTGAGGGGGCACTGGAATTTTAGGGTGGGCACTGGTCAAAATGAAATACAAAGCAACTGTTTGGGGTAGGATGTGAAAGGGGATATTATCGTCTTGTTTTCTTTCTTTTTAACCATTTGATTGAAAAGTTTGTGCATCCTGTATCTAGCACTGTGTACAAATCAAAACAAGCTGGTACATTTCCTACGTGCCTCAACAAGAAAAGCATTTAATTATTTCATACATGTACTTTGTGGTTTACATTTGAATGCAAATCTTAGTCATATTACATGTATGTACTGTAAGGGACTGTACAATGTATGGGACTCAAACTGTACATCCGAGATTGGGGAAATGAAAAGTGATATTTCAATGGCAACCTGCATAATAGTGAAGTACATTTCCCCCTCCACTTTTCAGATAAAGAAATAACAAAATAGGCTGTAATAACAGCAATATTCTATAAATACAAATGAAAGAATCGATATGGATTATTTACCTAGCACAATACACACAAACAGACCTGATACAGAATTGACACATACTGTATCCCTTTCAAGACAGGATTTATATTTAGGGCTAAATTGACCACATAATTGTTCTTTTTAAATTGGCTATAATGATATTCTTTTTTCATTGTTACATGTACATTGTTCAAATAATAAATGATATCTGTGAAAACAATATGAATGGGCGAGAAAGTTGTTGCAAAGTTGACAAAATTGCCAGTTCCGATAGAAAAACAATGACTTTGAATCTCTCGTCAAATTGCAAATTTAAGGATTGAGAAGCATTTTTTCTTTTTTAAAATTCCTAGCGCAACAAAAAAAAGGTTTAATCAAGTCACAATCCAAAACTTGAAGTAATATGTCACCTTCCAGACTTTGTAAATCAATTCTTCTTTTTTTTTCCAATTATTTTTATTTTTACTTTTTATCATCACACTCTTTTCCTCTTTACCTTTGTACTTTCACTGACAACGATTTATCCCTTATAACTCTCAAATATCTACAATCTACAAACGTGTAAATGATCTAAAATTTGTACCTCATATACTATACAATACATATTAAAGATAATGATATGGCATACAAATGCTCTATGCATACATGATGTACATGTACTGTACATTTGAATTCTGAAGAGAAGAAAAGAAAAAATCCCTCATTATTCATGCAGCTCCACATCCATTACCAAACTTGACAAATTTTGCAAGCATGCTCCTTCTTTTCCGTTTCCCATAATTATGTCCTCCAACCCCGAGGCAACATCCTGATGATTTGTAAGGCACGCATCCAAAAATTGAAGTTACCGTGGCAACCGAGGATGACCTAGATGCATGCTGCGGTGGTCCATTTTTTATTCACCTTCCTCTCCCGGTTCATCACTTTCATCATAATGAGGTAAGGGAAAGATACCAGTCTGGCTTAGTTGTGTATTCAGTACTGGTAGTCATAACTAATGATCATGATGATGCTGTACACTGTACACCTGGGCAGCGTTTCACGAAACCGTCATAAGTACAAGTTCACCGACATCTCATTGAAAGGCGTGTATTAAGTTTAACACGCGTTTCAATGGGATGTCGGTGAAATTGTACTTATGACGGTTTCATGAAACGCTGCCCTGTACTACATATACATGTACATGTAATAAAAATGATGATGATGATGGTGACTGATGATGAAGTTGATGATGATGATGATGATGAAAATAGTAAATGATGATGATAAAATAATGATACCAATATTTCAAAATAATAATATTAATAACATAAATACAAATAACAATAATATTGTAAACAACAAAAGTAATAATCATAATGATAACAAATTATTATAAAATATTTAGGAGTGCTAAAAGCAACATGTACAGGTACAATGTACATAGCAAATAGAAGTAATAATTTGATACACCTGTAGTTCTTTTTTACAATAAAATGTGATTCAAAGTCACAGAGGTTATAATTTTTTAATTAGAAGCTACCAAAGTTGGGTAAACTTTTTTTTGATACACAATGTATAGTACATGTATTTATGCAATTCAAGATTTCCACAGTCCAAGAGAGTTGTGCACAAAATAAAACTACTTGTACAGAAATTTTTCTCTTTCAAGTATATCCTATTTATCTACTTTTCTTTGTTTTATTTTTTCTTTCTTTCTCTCCTTCTTTCTTTCATTATTTATTCCTTTCTTTTTCTTTCTTGTTTTCCACTCCAAGTAGAATCCTGCCTAAATACAGGCCTACAGGTACCCATGCATTGCGTGTTACATGTACATATTGCACAGAACAGTACATGTGTAAGGTCGGGTATCCCATGACTGTGGCATTGCAGAATACAGACCATTGCACAACAGAGATGAAATGCATTGAAAATTTAATAGCCTACATCTTAGTACTGTACAGAACATGGTGACATGTACAAATGTAGTGTATGTGCTCTTGCAGGTTGAATGTTCTGTAAAGCGTAAACGCCTTTTGAGATTGTGCTCTGAACTATCGTATTTTTTTTATTTGTAATTCCTACATGTACATTGTGTACTTCCTAATAATGCAATATTTAAGCATGATTGGAGTAATTCATCAATCATATTCAATTTCTCACTTCCCATTTATGTGCATCGGTGAAATTTCAAAGCAGAATTTTGTTTGATCACCGAGACTAGACTGACAAAAATAGGGAACTTCTGCCTATTAAAGGTACTACATGTATGTCCCATTTGCAGGCCAAAAAATGAAAAAGTTAAATTCCAACTGCATTTGAAAGATAATACTAATTTAGAACGTCCCTAAAAAAGGTGGGGCTTTAAAATGTCTTCAAGTGGGAAAATAACGACTATTAGTTGTCAAATCGACTTTAGGGCTATACATGTAGAGCCCAAAAGTAATAGTCTTGATTTTCAGACAATTGTACCGAATGGTCATACGTTTTATGCTGCGCAAAGATTCAATCAGTTTAATCTTGGCCATCACAAGAAGTGGGTTATTGATGTAGACAAATGCTCATGTACCCTTTACAACTCTTTTCATGTAAGTTATTACCAAAGAAGAAAAAAAGCCAGTCACTCACTCAATAGTGTCTGACAGTGAAGTCAAGCAAGTAAACGGGTTTCCTTGCATACTTTGAATATGAGGACACTGCTAACGTTTAAATTTCACAGACAGGACATACATGACATATTCATAATTCCTGCAAAGTTCTACAGAATTTGAGGATGGCTGCAAAAAGGACATAGTACCTTTAAATCTATATTTTAAAAAAATAATAAAAAGGGCGGTACATCTACAGTGTACATATCACATAAAAAGGGAAGGATGTTCTACCCGTAATAGGTTGTAAAATCATGCCACTCAAAGTGTCTGCATTATGCACACGACTGTTCATGAAAGTGTTAATATTCTACAAAAGAAAGGTACAGTACAAAGCCTAATTCACACACCAAACTATGAAGAGATGTGTGTGCATGTGAATGGCATCCTTTTTATTCTGATATATTCTGTTTGGATGAACATATCACATCTTGAGTTGGAGTATGTTGTGTACAATTAGATATAAATAACTTTTTATACAACTGAAATTCATAGATACTGTATGGCAAATGTTTTATATCGATAACTTAATTTCAATAGAGACATGTACAAAACTACAAAACCTGATATGCTAAAAAATCCTCTACAGGTATGTCATTATAATTTATTCCTACTCTTCCTGCCTAAAGCAACTACAGTACAGTTGTAATAATACACTCAGAATATTATATAATGTAATGTGCAATCTCCATCCATATGAATTAAGGTCCCACTGCACTACTTACATCTATAGCTACTTGCGCCCTCATGTAGCAAACAATGCCTAATCGGTGACCATTGGTCCGTCATGATCCCCTTTTTCTTACGGTATGTGAATCGAAAGCTGATTTGATGAGATAACCACCTGTCAGTGACCATACAGGGAGGTCCAATCCCTCCTGGCCAAACTACATGTAGTGCAGTGGGGCGTAAATGAAGATGATATCTTATCATGTAACCAGTGTATTTTTGTAATGGGGGCCCACACCTTTTCAATTCCAATTTTGATAAAGTTGCCTCGACACAAAATTAAATTGAATTCAGCTAAAAAAATCGGTTGTTAGAGACTTTTCTTTAAGTCAAGAAAATAATTTTTTTAAATATATTTTATAACTCATAGTTTAACATAACGCTGTCAGTTGGGGCTTTGATTGGATTGGAAGATCAGAGCGACACCCTCGCACCTGTGATTGGTATCGGCAAAAATAATTGGCAAAAAAAATCGGCAGAATTTTTTTAATGATGAAAATTTTCAAGTTTTGGGATGTCAAATACTTTTGAAAAATTCATGGCTGGGATTATTTTGTCATTTGGAGTTGTTGTAGACCATGTTTGTTGATATTTAGTGCCTTTTCATGACTTTGAAATTAATAATATTGGTCTAAGAGAAGAGGCAAAACATGCGGGCCGCCATCTTGGATTATAATGCATGCCTACATTATAATCCAAGATGGCTGCCTAAGTATCAACAAACATGGTCTACAACAACTCCAAATGACAAAATAATCCCAGCTATGAATTTTTTTAAAGCATTTGATAGCCAAAAACTTGAAAATGTTGGCATTTAAAAAATCATTTTTATTGATCGGCGATCGGAAATTATTATCCGATCACCCCTGATCGGCTCAAGATCGGCCTATGATCCGATGATCTGTTACAGGCCTAGTTTAACATTTACCAAATATTTATGTGCTATGATTTGTATCAAGATTAGGCTTGAAAATGGAAAATGTCTAGAGAAACACCTTTACAAAAATTTCGTCATTCTCGTTGATCTGTAATTACAGACTGTTTGATCTTCGGTGACTTCTCTATAGTAGACTGATTTAACTACAAAAGATATTTGTATTATTTACTTGTTAATGCATTAAAACCTTATAAGAACAGCTTGTATGTATTTATTAAGAACTGATCAGTGAAATGAGCTAGAGCTTAAAGATCAAGAAATAAGTTTTAAAATAAATTTTTTAGTTTTAATCATTTCGCTGCCCATACACCGACTTAAAGTTGCCTTGAGATGACATTCTAAATGTGGTGGGGGTTGGTGGTTATTTTATTTTTTTACTCGACTGCTAAGAAAGCATAAATGCTTGTAAGCAACCAGACGGCTGACGGCTTTAGGTCCTCTCCGAGGGACCTGGTAATGAGGATTAATGCCTTACCAAAGAGCACTAGTGCATCGACTTGGTTTCGAAACCGGGTCACCGGATTACGAGACCACTGCTCCTAGACTGAGCTATCGCACCTCCTCCTAAATAAATATGACGGGTTTGGAGTCATGACAAGAAATTCTCGCTCATCTTGGCAAAGACAGTTTTGTGAAACACTTAGATCTACATGTAGGCCCGAATTCACAAAGGAGGTTTGTCGAAAAACCTAGGTTTATATGACGCGTTTCAACACGTTTTTACAAACAAGGTTCGTCAAAACCGCGTCAAAACGCATCATATGATGCACATAATAGGGTGTCTGAACGATTTTTCAATTTTCAATTTGGGATCGTTTTTCACCATTTTTGTTGGATATTGGAGTAAAAAATGTAATCAGAATAATACCTTTCAAATTTCAAGACTCACCGATGTTTCTATCAAAAGATACAGCCCCTCAAAAACTGTGCAATATTCATAGCATTTTGGTCAGAATGGACAGAAAAGTGGTTCACGCAGAGTTATAATTTCTGCTCAAAAGCTGCACAGCTAATGCACAGCACGATATGCAAAGCGTGGAGCAAGGGTATTTTCAAACTGTTGTAACAAATGATCCCTTGGGACTAGAGAAAAAATAAGTGCATGGATATATTCTTTACAGCTGGCCCAACTTATCCCTCGGGGGGCAGTTCGTGAAATTGGTAAATCTCCGAGTTACCATGGAAACGATGTTTAAATCGCTGTTTTGAGCAAGATATATTTAGAATTCCTGGGGTGGCCCCCTATGGGGAATATGGAGAAAAACCTGCTCTTTCATATGACACCACATTTATTGAGTTTCACCTTCAGGATCATTTGTTATAAAGGTTTGAATTTCAAATTTTTCATAAAATCATTGACCAATTTTGCTTGGTCGCGCAATGCATGTAGACCACATAGGGATGTGTGCAATCTCTATGGGAAAGATTTTAGCACACAACATCGGGTGCGCGATCAGACACCCTACTAGACCGAATTTTCCGTCTCTTTCGTTCGTTAGCCTCTTATTGGGGTAGGGTCGGCTCTCTCTTTAGAGACGGAAGCCGTTTATACACATGTCCTTGCTAACGCCACGGCCAGTTCTGGTCGTAGCGTTTTGCCCCCAAAATCCCCCAAAATGTCATTTTACCTCGAGCATGTTATATTGTAAATTAGGCCTAGGCTATAATAAATCAGTTCCACTTACCAACTTGACTGAAATAATCAGTTTAATAGTCCCTTTTTAGGAAATTATGGGTCAAAATCGGAATCCATGTTGAATAACATGGATTCCGATTTTGACCCATAATTTCCTAAAAAGGGACTATTAAACTGATTATTTCAGTCAAGTTGGTAAGTGGAACTGATTTATTATAGCCTAGGCCTAATTTACAATATAACATGCTCGAGGTAAAATGACATTTTGGGGGATTTTGGGGGCAAAACGCTACGACCAGAACTGGCCGTGGCGTTAGCAAGGACATGTGTATAAACGGCTTCCGTCTCTAAAGAGAGAGCCGACCCTACCCCAATAAGAGGCTAACGAACGAAAGAGACGGAAAATTCGGTCTAACACCCTACACATAAACCTAGGTTTGTTGACAAACCTCCTTTGTGAATTCGGGCCTCAGCGGACACGTCAAGCGACAGTGTCGAGATGTCGTTTAATGGAGCATCATCGAGGTATCCGTTTTTCTCATCGTAAGCTTGTGCATGTGGGTGAAATCAGTGAATGAATGACCTCATCATATCTCATAATCATCATATTCTTCTTGAAATATGGGATTGTCCATTGACCATGTTGACATCCAATTTTTGTTTGCATGTTAAAACTAAAAGTTAGACAATGCTTGAATAAGGTTAACCTTACACCCATTTCTGAAACTGTATACATTTAATGTTGAATATCCCTAGTTTAAGTCAACATCATCCTTCACAGTGAAAACAAACAACAGTTCATACACTTTCAACTTGACAATCTGTCACCCACAATCAGACCTTATCATCACACATGCACAGGGCCAGGGACACTGTCACTGGTCACTGACATTATTTTGTCTCAAAAATTACCTGCCGTAAATACCCTCCGTGATCTTTGTACGTTTCAAAGGACGTCTAGGTCTGCCGCAGTCGGCAGTTCGCCTCTTCATATTCCCGATAGCGCCCAGCTTGTGAGAAATTACTACAAATTCGGAGAGAATGGGGAGGTATTTCAGAAAATAACTTTCACCGCTTCTAAAAAAATCTGGCTGCTGCGCTGTACACAGTGTGCGTCCGCTATGCATATGTTGACATGTTGTATACAATTTACAAGCGGAGCGAAGCTGGCTGGCTACGGTACGGCGAGAGCTCCCGCACGTATTTTACAGTACGAGGATCGACATAGCATAGACTGAGAGCTTGAGCCATAGCGAATACGTACGTGCAAGTACATGTGTACATGAATATTGTACACATATCATTGCGCTTGCGCAAAGCAGACAAGGACGCCATTTCGTTTTCAACATAACTTCGGAAGAAGTAATTTTCATTCTTCATTCTTCAGTTTATTTTTTTCAAATCCACTGGGGCAAATTTTATGGAGACGTTTTCTAATCTCCTCTTCATTCCATGACCATGTACTCACGGGCGGCGCTCCGGGGGGGGGGGGGCAGGGGGGACACAATGCCACCTGCTGAAGTGCCCCTATCTGCAAAGGAAAAAGTGCCTACTTAGTTAGAGTGCCCCATTTTCACCTCTGATAAATACCCTCATTAAAAATGATAAGGGTCCCCTTATCCTCCCATCATTAAACGTGCCCCGAATTTAAAGGGACTAAGAGCGATTTCCCCAAAGCTCGCTCGCATTTATAGGTTATTACTTAATATGTTACTTAGCAAAGGTCTTTCAGTCTACGCGTACGTTATGAGACTGTGTTTGTAAGAACCACATCAGGATTTTTTTTTCTTTTCTTTATAAGATGTAAATTTTCGCACTGAGACCTCACAATCTTCGCTCGCTAGCAAATGAATATTCAGACCAGCACACCTTAAATGCAAAGTATGATGCTTAATTATCTTGTATAATGCACCGGATGATGCATAACGAGAAACTAACATTGAAACCTTCCCTAGTATTGTAATCACAATGTAGGGGTTTATACAAATGTCTAATTTCCCCCCTCTTTTTTGTTTGCTTTGAGATTTCTCTTTGTAAGTGCCCCTTTTTCATTAGCGCCCCCCCCCCCCCCCACTCTGGAAGTCGCTCGGCCACCCCTGCGTTTACTTGATGTTCCTCGCCACTAACCCAGGCGAATCTGATCACCATGCTACTTTTACTTCTCAATCGTACTTTTATTGTCCAATATCCAATTTAAACTGAATAATAAAAATTAAAATATGTATTGATAAATAAATAACAAATGGTCTCACAAACATGGTCACAATTCAAGAACACACTGTTATTTTATCTTTTGAAAATAGTTTATTGAGACAAGGAATGATCCCATTCATTCCGATGAAGATGGTGATATCGTCACGGAAGAGAAAATTGGTTCAATCTTCCACGCGTCCAAAACTAAAAGAGCGCCACCTCTTGTTATTCATGCATACTTGTCAGTTTCTATGATTTTTGTATACAAAACAGAAGGTAAAGAACTGCTGCAAATGGCTAATCTGGTTTGTGGTCTTAGTTTTTTGTTTAAATACAAGATGCACGGACATGCATAAACGAAATGTATATAGGTAAGTGCCGAAAGGTGTTTTTTTTTTTTTAATGTCACCCCACCCATCGAAAGGTGCGTATCGAAAGGCCAAAAAGAAACTGTCATGGCGTGTGAGCACTGAGCACAACGTCAATAAGACTATGGTCACTAACTTATTTGAATTTGAATTTGAATTGATTAACAACATAACACAATGTTACAAATGTACTCAAGCGGGTAACAAGATAACACAAATTAAACAGTTGATGTCGTATACATATCCATGTACATGAGTTACAAAGAAAGAGAAAATATCCATAGTTGACCATTATGACTGTACACATTAAATTAATCATTATCATGTAATATAAAACCTGTGAATTAGCCATAACTTAATAATACGCAGAGATTTGGTTGGATTCCTTAAAGATACAAAAAAAAATGTGACTAGAATGGAGATTCACATAGTTCCAATAGTGTATAATTGATTCAAATAAAGGATATTTTAAACTTTAAAAAACTTTAAATGTTGTTAAAGGGAGAACCAGAAGTTAGCACGAGTGCTAGTCGGGATAGGTTCTCCGAGTTTCTAAAACTGTATGAAAAGTCATATTAAGGTATATTATTATCTTCAGTGTAAGAAATTTACAACGTTTTACTAAATTTAAAATAATAAAAAACTGCTTCAAGTGCATTTCAGTAACTATAGTGTATCCCCTCTTTGTGCATATTGCACGTAACCTTACTAAGCATCCTTGTCACATTTCAAAGTTTAAAAATAAACTGGCGAGATTCGGGGGGAGTGAAGACGAAAATCGATGGCTTCAAGTTGTGATATTCCTGACAACAATAAGATTTGTCTGGCTGTTAAAATCAAGCCAGATGTGGAATTCGAGGATCGTGGAACCCCCCCCCCCCCCCCCCTCTCCCGTGCCCAGCCCATATGAACAGCTTAATGTGACATGGGCACCGTCTTATAAAGAGTTACATGTACGATTGATCCCAATCAATCGCAAGTTTGCAGTCTTCTATCTCTGATGTTCATAATTACGAATGATATCAATTGCAAATAAGCTGTGTTTAATATCAACTCTTTATAAGGCGGGGCCCTGGTTAAAGTACACATTTCACGCAAATGTTAACTTCTTTAAGTACTGTGTTCCTCATAATTTATTATCATGCTCACTTTCTCAGTGTTCGCCCACACGTAATACTCCAGTCCGGAGTCATTCGAAATAATTTCTGGAAAGAAATATTCATTAGCTATCACGACCATAATTTTCACTTTCATGGCCCCTTTTCTCGCTGTGCTATAACATTGGCCCAATATCAAGAAAATTATGTTGGGCCAACATTGGGCTGGCGGACATTTTAACATCGGACCAATGTCAACATTTTGATGTCGAGCTGTTGCGACGTCTCAAGGTACAATCATTTGGCAAAACGCTGGCACAATCTCCTATTGCTAGCTGGGAGAATACACCAGTTCACATCCAAAAGCACTTTTGAAACGAAACGTTCAAAATCTTTGACGACCCATTTCATGTTCTTGGTACCCCTCTTCTCGATCCGAGACCATAATGACGTCACGATAATTACCTTGGCACAATCTCCTATTGCTAGCTGGGAGAATACACCAGTTCACATCCGATAGCAATTTTGAAACAAAATGTTCAAAATATATGACGACCCATTTTCATGTTCTTGGTACCCCTCTTCTCGATCCCTGACCACAATGACGTCACGATTACCTTGATAGCACGATTTCTTATTCACCTTCATGCACTTGAGTGTATCTCCGGTGCTAATTTCACGCCATATTCACCCAGCGAGTACATTGAGGCATTGGTGTAGCATGGTTTTAGCAAATGAGAGGAGAGGAGGGGGAGGGTCACTGGGAAGGGCGGAAGCACCGGTT